AAACACAACGCCTCGTTTAAAGAATAATGCAACTCCCCAGGGCCAGACTCACTGTTGTATGATTTCTATTATCAGACTCTGTGGTGGTGGAAAAGTTTAACACTAGGACTCCCACAGCAGGGATTCTGACGGCTCCAAATCAAATCAATGAAAGACTAACATAACTCACATAAGAAACTGAAAGCAGCAGAAAGCACCTTGAGCGGCACAATCAAGTTCAAAATATGTATGTGTGTGTAAGTATGTTAATGTATGTATAAGTATGTGCAAGTATGTTACTGTATGTGTAAGTATGTTACTGTATGTTAATGTGTGTGTCAGTATGTTAATGTATGTATAAGTATGTTAATGTATGTGTAAGTATGTTAATGTATGTGTAAGTATGTTACTGTATGTGTAAGTATGTTAATGTATGTGTAAGTATGTTACTGTATGTGTAAGTATGTTACTGTATGTTAATGTGTGTGTCAGTATGTTAATGTAAGTGTAAGTATGTTAATGTATGTATAAGTATGTGCAAGTATGTTACTGTATGTGTAAGTATGTTACTGTATGTTAATGTGTGTGTCAGTATGTTAATGTATGTATAAGTATGTTAATGTATGTGTAAGTATGTTAATGTATGTGTAAGTATGTTACTGTATGTGTAAGTATGTTAATGTATGTGTAAGTATGTGAAAGTATGTTAATGTATGTGTAAGTATGTTACTGTATGTGTAAGTATGTTACTGTATGTGTAAGTATGTTACTGTATGTTAATGTGTGTGTCAGTATGTTAATGTATGTGTAAGTATGTTACTGTATGTGTAAGTATGTTACTGTATGTGTAAGTATGTTACTGTATGTGTAAGTATGTTACTGTATGTGTAAGTACGTTACTGTATGTGTAAGTATGTTACTGTATGTTAATGTGTGTGTCAGTATGTTAATGTATGTTACTGTATGTTAATGTGTGTGTCAGTATGTTAATGTATGTAAATGTATGTATAAGTATGTTAATGTATGTGTAAGTATGTGTTTTGTATGTATAAGTATGTGTAAGTATGTTAATGTATGTCAATGCATGTGTAAGTATGTAAATGTATGTATGTGTAATGTATGTATAAGTATGTTAATGTATGTATAAGTATGTGTAATGTATGTATAAGTATGTGTAATGTATGTATAAGTATGTGTAATGTATGTATAAGTATGTGTAATGTATGTATAAGTATGTGTAATGTATGTATAAGTATGTGTAATGTATGTATAAGTATGTATAAAGTATTTTAATGAAGTGTAGAAACACCCAACCAGGAACTTTATGCGTCAGTTACAAGCTTGTTTTTTTCTATGTTGACTATGTTGTCAAATGAATGAATAAAATAAATAAATTGTTCATGCATTCTCATTCCAATGGATATTTTCATAAAGGTAATAGAATGTAATGGAAATGAATTTAACTCTGGAAATGTGGAAAAAGTGCGTAACTCTACATGTATTAAAAATGCGGAAAAAGTGCGTAACTCTACATGTATTAAAAATGCGGAAAAAGTGCGTAACTCTACATATATAAAAAATGCAACAATAATAGTTTTATAATTGAATCGCAGCCTCGGAATTGTAATCGTAGTCGAACAAGTGCCCCAAGATTCTCACTCCTAATAACAACAAACCAATAGGAGTTAGGGGTGCAACGGTTTGAAAAAATCACGGTTCGGTTCGTACCTCGGTTCAGAGGCCACGGTTCGGTTCATTTTTCGGTTAATTTTTCAAAAAAAAGTGTTGTCTTTTTAATAAACACAGCTCATGTGGACTCGGCACCTGCTCTGACTGCCCCCCCTGACCTAGAAATGAATTAAGGGGAAGGAAATGGATGGATGGATGGATGGAATATTCCATCCATCCAATTATGTCTATTTAACATAATTAATGAAAAACAACACAAAGTGCAACATAAGAAGGCACTTTATGAGGATATTTACTCTCATATATTACACCACCTTCCTGATTCTCCCGAGGAGGCGCTCCATTCTGGGCCCAGCCTCATTCACTGCATTTATTTAATTTTTGGCATTATCAGTTGTGACTGGGATATTAGTACTGGGCCTTTGTCTTCCATTCCTCCGCTGCTTGTGTCAGTACCTGCGCTGTGTGACAGTGTGACTGTCGTAGAGGGGGCGTGTCTGCAGCGCCAGACTTTTCATCTCCCAGTCTGCGGTGATGAAGTGAGCGGTTCCGCTCATGGATCTATTATAGGTTCCGCGGGACGTCCGAGCGTCAGTCGTGAGCGCAGCTGTGATGCGCGGGAGAGTTGACTTTAGCCCGGTCTGACTGTGCGTAAAGGAGGCTGCTTAAATGCCGCGACAATAAGCGGTCGTTGAGACGCTTTTTTCACTCATGTCTTTCTTGTGCCACAGTGCTTACACATCGTGACAGTTTTGTCGAATATTAATTATCAGTGTAGTTACAGTGAAGCCAAAATGCTCTCATACTGGGAATTTAAATGACGCGGGGCTTTCAAGCATCTCCGTTCCTCCGCTCGCAATGACCGCGCTGTGTGTGGACTGAACAACGTGCGCACAACTTTTTTTTCATAAATCAAACCGCGGATCACGTCTGTACCGAACCGAAGACGTTGAACCGAACGGATCACGGATCAGTGATGAACCGTTGCACCTCTAATAGGAGTCCATAAGTCCATAGGAGCAGGAAGGCACTGGTATAGCCTGGACTTCTCCATCTGTAAACTACTGTCAATTATCATCTCCTACATGTAGGTCTGGGTCTGCTCCCAGTGTCTGCAGTTACATCGGTTGAATCCCATACGACCAATCAGAGAAGGGGGGAGGCGGGTGTTGTTATTTGGGTGTATGTGATGTCAAGAGTTGGCGCCAAATTAGCTGTTTTTAGTTTGTCGGAGAATGCGATAGTAAAATAATCTGTTCTGGTTCAATCCAAATATCAAGAAACTGAAGCCGGAGCAAGAGGAATGTTTAGTAAATGTCATTGAAGCAAAGATGTTGTGGCTCTACTCCCCACGGGCTCCGTTAGTGGCAAAGAAGATAGCTAAAGCTAGGCTAAATGCTTAGCGACTCACTAGAGCGCATTATATATTTCTCGGCAAACTCAGATCCAATAGTTTCAATCTGCAAAAGGAGTTAACCCCTCCCACCTGTTTACAGAGTCAATGGAGCAAATACAGACCTTAGTATGAAATTATATTTGTACAATGGTATGACCAGGCTAGCATTGCCAAGGAACGATTCGAAAACCCAGTCTGGTTCCAAACACGGCGTAAAAGACAAATCAGAATCACAATTTAGATGTTTTGATTGCCTTTTTAACCTGCTGTAGCACCTTGAGATGTGTTTAGGTGCATTATAAAGAAAATGCATTATTATTATTACAATTGAAATGGTCACAATTAGCAAACCTGGAAAACCGCATATATGTCAAAATGTTTTTAAAAAGGTGTGAATGCTGTTTTGTTGGTGTTTTTCTCCTCAACGTCAATGCGACCGTTTAGACCAATCCAAGACTAAGATCTGTATCTGATCAGAAATCATTCTCAGTCACAGCACTTTTAATGTAATCATTTCTTCCACATCCCTTCTGCAAGTTTCATTAAAATGTCATTAGAACGGTCTGATAATTATGTTGCAAGACAGACAGACAGACAAACAAACCCTGGGGATTGCCTAACCCCCTGGCGAGGAAAAAGCAAATATGTCGTTTTAACTCAGCTTATTGAATGTAACCAACAATTAAAAGAAATTATAAAGTTAGAGATTTTATCCTTATGTAAAGTATGACTCAGAGATCTTATTCTTAGGTTTTGCTTCTTCATTACACTAGAGTTGAAGATTGTAGACTTCTTTTTTATGCTAAAGTTAGAAATTGTATTTCATTTTAGTATAGAAAACACTGAAGTCTTCCCACTGTGGGACGAATAAAAGATGTCTTAATCTTAATCTATTATTGAGGACTGAAAAATCTGCACAGCCACTGAGATCCACCCACAATCCAGCGCTGCTACACAAACGCCATCAATTTAAAGCTGAGAACCTTGAGAATTAAGTTTAAAAATATAATAAATAATCTGTATACTTGGTCAAAGATTCAAAAAGTTAGTGTAATTTGTTATATTGCGTTTTCCTTTGGGGGGGGCAGAATCCCAAAAGAACTCAAAATCACTAACCCCCTAACCCAAATACACCCAGTCACCTTTAACACTAGAATTCCCAGAGCAGTCAATTCGACGGCTTTTCATTTTAAGAGTGTGATTACTCATCTCTTGTATGTTGTTGGTCTTCATAACTTTGTGACTTTTTCTGTTTCTACATGTTGGATATCCCTGTGTCATTATGATCTTTTTCAGACTGGTTCAGAGCAATCTCAGTGTGTAGCGAGTTACCATAGCAATGCACTGTTTGCGAGCTTCACTAAGCATTTAGGTTTGCTGTATGTCATATATAGTTAAGCAGATGATAGACAGAAAACACATGAATGACTTAGTTTGAATTTAAAAAAAACAGGGAAAAAGAAAAAAAAATTGGGGGAGATTTTTTCAGAAATTACATTGATTTGAATAGGAGCCGTCAAAGTGACTGCTACGGGAGTTCTAGGAGAATTCTGGTTGTACTCAAAGACCTGGTCCACCTCTTAGTCCAAGGGTCGACATTGGTTTGATACAGTTTGTATTATTGATTTGGGTTGTTTACACAGACCTGAAGGATAAAGGTTAGAATTCTTTGACATTACATTAACTACAATAACTTAGGGATATAAACAGTGCTCAACACAGACAGATAACTCTAAAAAGTGTATATTTATAAACATTAAAGTATGCAAATGTTGGAGTATTCGTATGTATTCCAGACACGTATGCAAATATGACAGAGCAGAGGTATATGGACTCGGCAATGAGAGATAATGTTAGTTGAAAATGTGTGTATCCTAAATAAACACGATGTGAAACCACGTTAAACTGGTAAAATGTTAAGTATTTTTATTTTTACCTTCATGTCGTTCATGATGAGCTGGAAGAGCCCTCCCAAGGCGCTGCATTCTTTCTCTATTCCATCCATTTTTCCACAACGCTGGATAGATACTTTTTACAAATCCTTTAAAATGTGTATTCAATAAAAAACTTTCAACCAAGTTATCGAATGCAAAACACGATTAATTGAAGCAGTCTCACCCACAAACCAGGCGGGCTAAAGTCCAGTCCAAACTGTGGCAAAAATCAAAGATGGATATGGGGGGAAGATAATATGCATTCTCTGCAGACAAAAATAAGGTAAAATCTTTGTCAGCCTATGCTAATTCCAGGCCACGTGTTTGTATCTCGCAATAACCACCGCATTGTGGATTTTTACGCCAAATAACAGCGGGGTAGAAAAAAAAATAAAACAATAAATAAGTTTTGGCTAATTTTCACCGTGGCGTCCCGGTGGCTACAGGCTAAAGGCTAACACAGCAGCAGGAGCCAGAAGCGAGCAGGGAAAACTCTTGGAAAACCCGGGACAAATCGCGTTCAAGCCATAAAACGGGTCGGTGGTATTCCAAAGGGCGGTGGGGATGTTGGCGGTGTGTGTCCGGGGTCGTAGCCGAGGATGTGTAGGTGTTTGTGGGTCCCGTTGGGGCTGTGTGGTCCGCTGCCTGCCACCGAAGTGAAGTGAATGAGAAACACAAGTGTAGAGCGTACGGCAAGCGACGAGGGAGCGACTTCCGGGAACTCACCAAAGTAAGAGCGTAACCGGAAGTGCAGAGGAAGTGGATTAATCGAGATGTTTTTTTGATTGTTGGTACTTTGTATCATTTGTGTGTCCGTCTCTCTGTTTTAAATTGGATGTAAAGGAAGTAATAAAGTTTAATTGAATTTAATTAATTGAATTGTAAATGGTTTGAGTTGATCGGGACGATGACACAGTGAACTTGTGTTTATAATCTCAATGTACTTTGGGTTAGCCTAACAGAGGGCCACAGAAAATTACACTGAGGGCTGCAACTGGCCCACGGTCCTTTGCTTGGACATACCTGACCTATACTGTGTTATTTGTTATAGAGTCCAAAAAATAAATCCTTGCTTCCGCTCTTGGAATCAAGGACTGGAAGGAATCTGATGTGTTTTGAATGAATGAATGAAGCTTTTATTACGGACTCATGGTCCAACATTGACACGCACAAAAAGGACAAAACGTACCTGTGTATATTTTTTTATTCCATTTCTTGTGTTTGAACGCTTTGATTCTCTGATCTGTGTTGGCAAAATCAACTTTGTGCATAGTCCTCTGAGATAAACTACTGTTGTGATTTAAGACTGTACAAGAATACATTTAATTTATATGTATCAGTTATAATTCTGCATAATTGTAAGTGACCAAGTGTCGGGTTGTAAAAGCTGAGGAGCTGTCAGAGTGCGCCACCTACTGGCCGTGCTCCATAACAGGTGGGACACAGCTGCACAGTCTGACTTTCTGCACTAAGGACAGATTTTCCAGCGTCCCTCCATCACAGTGTGAAACTACAGGCTCTTTGAAACGTGCTGATGTCACATGAATGTAAACTATTGGGATTAAAGACTAGGGACGACAACTCAACACCATTTTGTCACTACTTAAACACCATTGTTGCATAAACTGTATTTTTTTGACAAATAAGATAAAAGTACAGCTGATATTGCTCTTCCAAACAAAGAACCAAGTCTGGATTTAATCTGCGAGTCGGGCTGCACAGATTATTACTATCATTCAGGACACAATATAATTATACAAACTGAAGAAAATTTACAAGAAGAAAAACACTATTTATGTTTATGTAACCCTACGGTGGTAATTCTGCTTGTAGGCAGGCTAATAATCTATGGTAGGCGTTATAAAAAATCTAGGTACGATGAAGAGGTTGGTGTTGTACTAATCATAAGGTCAGAAGACCATTCCACTCCGAATGAAGCACAGGACAACAGATTAAAGAGTTAAAGGTATTTAGGAGGATTATCTACTTCCGGGTGGATCATCAAAACTATTGGTCCTCCTCAGTGTCAATCATTCTGGTGATACGTGCTCATCAAATAAGAAAAGAGAATTTTGTTCAAAAAGTGGAGAAGGCGGTTCTTTCCTGAAAGTTGGGAAAATCCTCTTATATACCTTTAAGTAATGTGGGTCTTCTTCAAATGTTTCCTTATTTCCTTATCCAAAATTCAACATTTAGTTCAGAACACAAAAATATGACATTTGGTGTACAAATCGGCCACACATTCTTTTGAGATCTCATGAACCGAAAAAAAAACAAATAAAATCTGTCAAAATATAGTTACCCTTGAGTGCACTCAAATTTTAATTGTCCAACCACCCCTTACTTAGCGTCCATATCACACAACCCGATTGGACCGTTGCAGCGCTGTTAGATGAGGCAGTGGACCAGGGAACCAGGCACCAGGGCGAACAGAGAGGAATCCAGCTTCAGCGGAAGGAACACCAGGACCAGAAGAAGCCTCTAAAAAAAACCAGTCTACACAAAAATGTGCAGAAAATTAACTAATGTTCAAATAAATGTCTTTGTTTTAATCTTTCACTACTTAATAGTCCATATTTTCAATAATACAACTTAAATGTTATAACCTTTAAACTGGAATTGGGTAACAAAAATTAAAGTATATCACATTAAATCAAAATTGGCATTCTTTTCACAAAACAAAATCATTTCCCTTCAAAATGCATTCATTAGTGTACAAAAATACAACAAAATGTACCTGTGGGGTAACATCCACTGCTATTGTAGATAGCCAGACTGGTTTTTTATCCAATGTAATCCACTGCAACGTTGAAATGTATATTTTTAAGTCATTTCACAATTTTAGCTTCAAGCTAATCAACACAAAATGATAGTTTTCACTAGTGATGGGTCCAGCAACACTGATACACCGGCGCAAGTGCCAAGTTCGTTTAACGAAACCTCGTATCGGCGCGCGTGTCACTCCCGTATTTGTCCCGGAAACCGGATTCGTCCGGAAGTTCAGTTTGATCCAATGAGCATACGCAGCAGTAGATTATTATCTGGACGGAAGCGGAAGTAAATATAAAAAAACTACCTATTCATGCCTAAACTTAACCAGCCATTCCCATAAAATAACCCCAACCCATCCTTAACCCTAAACTTAACCATCTTAATCAGACGCCTAAACTTAACCAGTCACCACTTAAAGACATATTAAACTTTTTGACATGCGCAAACTGAACTTCCGGACGAATCCGGTTTCCGGGACGAATACGGGAGCTGACACTTTTTCACTTTATGAAAAAGCCACGTGACCGATACAGCCGCAGTGTCGCTTGTCACCGACACGGCAAACTGTGTTTAAAAGGTTCCGCATCTGCAAGTGTCACCGGTATGAACCGCTCTCAGAAAAAGAAAATAGCCCTTTCAAAAAGGAAAAACATCCCATTTTACAGCATCAAAATGGAACCTGCAACTAAAAGAAAGTATTCTGCAGTGTGATACTGCAAATAACAGCAAATAAGGCAATGTTTGTATTTTACATTTCACGCTTTATCTACAATCAACATTTAGTTTGAAACGGAAAATCTAGTTAGGCACGGTGGATGAGTGGATAGATAGTTTAAAGAGCACCGGGTACGAATCCCTGTCGGACCTCAAAAGTTTATGATGACATCACAGTCTTGAAGAATAATTTCAAGAATGTGAAGTGTAGAAGATGTCAAAGGTTTTTTCAAGTATACTTTAGTTGCCAGGGTTTACAGTGCACTTTGGACATGCTTATTGTTTTGAGAAAAAAAACAATAAAAATATTATATATATATATTACGGAAGTACGGAAGCTTATTGCATTCACTTGAAATAAAAAAAAGTTTCTGTTTTTATGAGTCAAGTTTCTGTTTTTACGAGAAGAATAAATCCTGTTTTTATAAGTTAAAAATAAATCCTGTTTTTATAAGTAAAATAAAATCCTGTTTTTACGAGACAAATAAATCCTGTTTTCACGAGACAAAAAAATCCTGTTTTCACGAGACAAATAAATCCTGTTTTCATGAGACAAAAAAATCCTGTTTTCATGAGACAAATAAATCCTGTTTTTATAAGTTAAAAAAAATCCTGTTTTTACGAGTAAATAAAGTAAGAGCATGGAAAATAGGCGCCGCACGTACATGTATACAGACCACAAGACAGCGAGTTCCAAGAAGAGTGGCAACGTTAAGGCATGGTAAGTGATATTAACATGTAACGTTTCAATTTGTCTGTATAGTCAGTCGCAAGAATGATGTAACGCTATCTACTGTTGGCTGAGCTAACGCTATCTGTTAACTTAGCTTTTTTTTTTTTTTTTTTCTTTATTGAATAAATCAAACAGGCTTAAATATTTAGTACAATCTCAGTTTCGTGCATCTGTTAACTTAGCTGAGCTTACGTTAGCTTGTTGTGGTGGGGAAGCATGGAGGGAAGGCACTAATTTTTACTTGCTCAAACCATTGCGTGCTCGCTTGATAACGAAGCCTACCATCATAGCCACCCTGTACCTAGCGTTGTTAAATCAATGCAATGCAATGAATTGCACATTTACTTTGAATGCTTTGTACGTTCGTCGGTAAGACTTGACAGTGGTGTCAGGCTGCATCCCAAATTCCAAAAAAATGCCTCCTTGCCCCTCCATGTGAATTAAGAGAAATTTAATTGCTTTTAAGGTCGTTTTCACACTGCCACTAGTTGGGTCGGTCAAGGTGTTGTCAAGAGAGACGCGCAGCTGGGCTAATAACTAACTAGCTAGTTAACCTAGCTAAAAGGTAAAGAAGGGGTTTCTTTTTTTAATGATTTCAGACGTAGCCGCTCTGGGACTCCACGCGCCTCTGAGTGCGTTTAGCTTCAAGGGAATGAAATGGGCACAGTGTGGAGCGATGTGAAGGAAAGACACGAAGGAAATGTATAATGTTTAAGCGCCCCTTATGTTCATGAAGACTGATGGTTTGTGAGCGGATCTGTGGCGCTGATCCTACTTCAGTGCGCAGTACACGCTCACGCTGATTCATTGAGGATTTGTGGTTTCATGAATGAACGCGCCAAGATAAAATAA